ACACACATACAGTACATGTAGTATGTGTGTTGCTCACCATTATTTTTTATTAGACTTACAAACTTAGTTTCAGTGATGCCACATTGTTCTTTCATTTAGCCGGAACAGCTGCTTTCGTTATCTATACACGTAAGCCATGTAATTTGTATATTACACGAATGTTTCCGTGAACTGATAGTTTCTAAGGGTCTGTTTTTTATGGGCTGCACTAGTTGAGTTTTCTGAACTTTTTCCCTCCACATTAGAAGGAGAAAGGTAAATTCTGAACTAGTGCAGCCAGTTCAGGTTAATTGGAATTGACAGAACGCAGATTCTACTTTATCAGCAGCGGGTAGTGTTGCACGACACGTCGCGTCGCGTCGATGAAGTATCGACGTATTATCATTTATAAACACATACATATGTATAAGACGTTGCTTATCGCAGTTTACGTCGTACTGTCGAAACGTTTGCCGCCTGCAAAGGGAAACGGTAGAAAGTGCATACGAGTGTAACGACAAAAACAACTGCATTGCCCGCGTAGCGCGAGTGCACTGACTCGCGAGCGATGTATCCAACAATTTCCTCACGTGACGAGGAGACGCGTATGCTTGTCGGCTATTTGCACGCGTGTATCGAGGAAAGAGACTTCCACATGATTCTCTCGTAAATAACGTGATATCGCGTTGACGGATTAGCGACATAAGTAAACAGGTAATCTAACGACAGTACACGTTCAAGAACACGACAGTCAACGACAATCGGTTGAACAACATTGAGAGGCTCTCTCTCCTATTTTTCACCGAAAACAAATCGTAGTATGAAATTGTAAAATCAATCGCGAGTGTCTCTTGACGGGAAATAACGTCCGCGGATGAAAAATGACGTTCCGCGGGCGCGCGCAACGTGGCTAACCTCAAAGTGACGATTAATTGACTCGGTAAGCGGCGATTTCTGTTCTAGCGGATATATTAAGCAAGTAACAAAGTATTTCAAAATAAGACGACACACATGGCTGGGCAGCAGCATCACTTCCTATCTGGGTTCTCCAATGTCCAGCAATCGACTATGCGCACACAGTTTGGTGGCGGACAAATCGTTCCTGGTTTGATGGGGCCACAACAGGGCAGTGAGTATCAAAGATTTCTTTCCGTTTATGTTTTCACTTACATGTCGATACGCGTACAATTATGTACGCCAAGTGCACTGCGTATCATTTATGTAAATGGTGTGAAACGAATGTCCATTTAGATCTACGTTCAATCGACAATGCTGTCTTCGGTATTTATAGTCGGATCTTATATTCAAGACCGTCTTCAATTTGTCTCAAGATACTGTACGGGACATTTCATTGGCTACGGAGTATCCAAAGACGATCTTGACAGTCTTGAATATAAGGTCAGACTATGAATACTGGCCATCTCAATGCTGTATTAAAAATTAAAGAGTTTCACTGGAATATTGCGGGCTTCATCCTCAAACTTAGAATCTTATGCGCTTCGATTCAATGTCTTCGAGCAAGTTTTAAGCGATTTAATATTTTCAAATAACTCGGAACGTAAGTGGCTTCTTCGAGCGGTTACTAAGTATACCAGCTTTCATTGATTATTGTAGAAATAAGAAGTTATTTCTATTAAGTTGTAATTAGTTAAAAAAAATATTTAAAAGCTAGCAAAGGAAATTAATTATTTAAAAGATTGGCATCTACGGAGATCAATAGTTGCGAGCAGGCTCTAACGTTTGTGAAAATAGCTGGATAAAATTTTGGCATTCGAGTCTAGAGACACATTAGAGAAATTATTATTTCAGATATGGTGACCTCCCAACAATTTGGCATGGGAGTTGGTAATGTTGGATCTAATGCCATGGGAATGCCCAATCCCCAACAAGTGTTGGCGCAACAGCAACAACAGCAGCAGACCATGGCGATGCAGCAACAAATGCAGCAGATGCAGCAGCAACAATTACAGCTGCAGCAGCAGCAAGCCGCGATGGTCCAACAGAATAATCAAGCCAATAATCAGGCCACGACACCGCAGACTCCAGTACCATCCGCACAGCTACCGCCCCGACAACAGCAGAATAAAGACATAAACACCATAACTTTATGTAGATTCGGACAAGAGGCCGTACAGGAAATCGTCAGTCGTACCATGGAGCTCTTCCAAACTCTCAAACTCCTTCAACCACCCAATGGTTTATTTTCCTCATCAAGATAATTGGAATATTATTAGAATACTAAATGTATACGTTGTATATGCGTAATTTGTGAATGTAGGTACTGCACAAGGAGCGAGCCTGGCGAACGAGAAGAAGAAAAAGGTCTACGATCATTTGGAAATGGTCAAAGCAATGTTCAAACGCCTGAGACTGATATACGAAAAATGTAATGAGAACTGCCAACTGCAGGGAATGGAGTATACGCATATAGAGAGTTTAATTCCGTTGAAGGAGGAATGGGATATGAAATCTGACGAGAAGAAGACTTCGGAAGCCTACAGACTCACCTGCGAGGAGAGGAAGGAAATTATGGAGGTGAGGCGAATGAAATTGTGCACAATCTAATGTATAATTGCTATGTTAAATCTCGATTAAAACAAAAAACGGCATCTACTTTCCTTTTCAGCAAGTGGTATTGAAGAATAGGCACATTAAGGAAATAATTGACCACCTGAGGCGCATTATTTCAGAAATAAACACAATGTTAAACATGCGTCGATCTTAGGTTACCAAATATAGATATAATTATGTTTCATATTATTATAAAATACATTTAAAAAATAAATTTCTTTTTACAACACGGTTGGCATCTCGCATTGCTCGTCATCCACCTCCTCCATCTCAGTTTTCTGTTTATCATTGATCGACATTAACGTCTACGTCTAAATAAATTATGTCGCTGCTTCGAAGAATGGCTCCTGGTACCGTTCCCATCGGTGTCTCCAAGTTTTTTACAAAAATCTTGGAACATTCTACGTCACAACCCTTGAATTCGCCCGACACACGTGTGTTTTCGTGCAAATGAAATTCTGTTGGTTTACCTATAATATTTGAATATTCATTGGTCACACGACAGATGCTAAATAATCATTTACATCGACAAGAATAAACGTTAATGTCATTAAGGTGACACTTCTTGTTTCTTTTTTACATTTCCGTCACACAAATATTTTCTCAACAAGTGGCAATAGTTGGAACGTTATCACGAAGCATTGTGCAAAATATTAAATGGATTTTGCTTCGATCGGCGCAACGCGATGACTTTAAGAGAGAAGGATACTAAAATTATTTCAATATCTTTTTCATTTTACCGGCGGGAATCTAGAACTTTCGAGCACATTTGATTGAACGACGTGACAGATTAAACGTTGGGACTTTCTTACCGATGATGCCGGTAATTACACGCAGAAAACGTTCGCGCAGAAACGCACGGGCCTCCTGTTTCTCCGGAGCTGCGAATGGCAAATCGGGCTTATTCGTACTCGAATCAATTTCCTTCTGTTCCGTCATCTTATATCTAGGAAACCGTTCCGTTCCGTCTCGAGATCGACACTATGAAACGCAGTTCATGGCGGAATCAACGCGAAGATGGCGTGCGTGTCCAAGAGAATTGGCGCTCTATTTGAATTCTCGTTAAGCGTTAATATTCGTACCGACGTGATATCAGTTAGACCCGGTTTTTCATTTTCTGGTTAACTGTTAACCAGAAGTTAGTCGAATCTCCATCTTTTTCTACATTATTATCTGAGAAGAGACCGAGGGGAACATAGAAAAAGATGGAGCAAATCAAGGGTTGCTTAATACGTTTGCTATTACTATAAACATTAGAAACACGAAAGAAAGTGGAAGTTCAAGCGAAGAGCGCAACATGTAAAATGATGCGGGCCTATTGAAAGTAACTGTAAAAATAAGTAAAGAAAGAAATTCTCAGTGTCTCACTATCAACAAAACTATGACTCGATTAATACATCTAGAAATTAGATTGATCGTACAATGTGTTTTTAAAAAATGTTGAGATACAGTTGAGATACAGTTACAGAGAGAACTAAATTTTGAAGTACTCAACACGGTAAGCTTCTTGATTAGATAATATATTATCGCGTTAACTTGTCTAATTAAAAAGAAACGGCTGTTCCAATGTTACAACGAAGCATTTGCATACTCCAGACAGACATAAGATCTCTCCGAATATGAAAGTTTTGAAAGCAGCCGAGTACAATGAAATAATCTCGGGTATCCTGCATCGATAGCCCACATTTTCAATGCGAAGCGTAATTGCCACAGTTAGAGAGGAAGCTTAGATCGACGCAATTATCGTACTTATATCTGCCAAACACACTTTCTCGCAGCACCGAACACATGGGGGCGACCCGCAGCTTTTTAACTTCATCGGAGGGCCTACGCGGTGTCACCTCATTTTCGTTCCGATCACGACGCGGTAACGATGGGTTCCCTCATCATTGTTTTAACAGCCTTCGCCGTATATTGTAGTGGTAGACGACTATTCGACATTCGAACGATATTACGATGTTGGTCCCGTGGGCCGCGTCGTCCGATTCATCCCCGCGATTCCAACGATTCTTTTTGTTGCAGAAGTATATTGTGACACACTTTCGACTGAAGTTGCCAAACCCGAAGACACCGCGCTCCTCGAGAAAAGCAACAGCAGTAATGCGACGATCGAGAGGGGGGGCTTTTGGAAGAATCTCAGTCTGTCGAGACACAAACCGAAACTAGAGGAGTCGAGAAAGTCGAACGACGCGAACAGCGAGGTTGACAAGAGGAGAGGGCGATTTCTCAACAGTCTAGCCTTCCTAACTGGCCTCAGCTTCGGCAGATTAGCCACCTCGGCATCCTCCACCGTGAAGAGTATCGCTAAGGCGCCGCATGCGTTCAGCATAAACCTAGGCTCCTCCAAAACCTCACCATACTTCGCCGCCTATTACAGTCAATATCCGTACGCCCCCCTGCTACCGTATCCGTTCTTCTACCCCTTCGGGTTCGCGCCGATGATCGACGCCGCGAAATCCCAGGCGTCGCAGAACGATCAAACGCCCCAAGTGATAAACCTGTTCGACAACCGGCCGAGCGATCTCGCGGGAAACAACGAAGACTATACGGACGCGGACAAGTCCAACGAGGCTGATGATCGCATAAGATTGCGAGCCGAAGCCGATCGAAACGCGGAAGAGAAGGTAAGGATGTAATAGATCTCGGCTCGCGCCGCCGGTGAGCAAATAGAAATCAGAGCGGAAAGCCACGCGACGTTTTATCTCGATGCGCATCTCACTCGGCAACCCGGTACCGAGCTTTCTCAAAAACTCCAACATCGATTAGTCGTGCGACCGATTAATTGCGCGAAAGTATTGGTCTACGGTAATATATTTATGCCACGTACGTAAATTATTGCTCGCCTAATAACGTATCTTGTCTAATCGAAGGAGCTCCCAATCTCTAATCGAAATCTTAAAGCGAGCTTAAAGTTTTCGAGCTACTTGCGAGATGACCCGATAAGCGCGACGGGTGCGTTTTGTATTGCATCTATTCGTGCGAGAACAGGTCCTCTTATCGCGTATGTGCTCGAATAATAACATAGTTGTACGACAGGTGTTCGCATGACAAATGATTAAGGCTTCATCGTGCCTATCGTTACTCCTTCGTAGCTTCCACGCGTGAATGACTAGATGTGTGTGCCCGTAATTTTATTTGGACCAGCAATGTGTACGTGTCCAGATAACGCGCGCGTTCAAGTATCGGCTCTTAAACGGAGCGGTATCTTGCACAAAGTCACGCGTGTCTGTAGTCGCTAATCTCGTCGCAACAAAAATATTTTTTCACCTTATCTCGCTTCTGTATTGGGGCGCGCACAATGTGCTTTCGATAAAAGGTAGAGAAAAGCCCTCTATTGTGAGACAGCAGGTTTTTCAACGTCCAAATTCAATCACAAATCGTTTTTCACAACGATTACACGGTCAGTCAATTTTCTACTAAACAGATTTCACTCCATAAATAAATTTGTGATAAAACCAACAGGCGGTGCCTATCAATTCGGTAGAAACTCGACTAACTCGTGTTAGGAGCCTATCTCATACTAGGAGACTTCCCCTCTACTAATTTCCATAATATTCTAATAGTAACCGACAATAATATTTTTATCAATTTAATATCGTTTATTCGTATATTATGTCACACGCATGAAAATACGTAATAACTTTGTGACGATCGTTTTGTGACGGTTCGCGGCAACGCGTTACACGTTAATTTATACTATTATTTCAGGTACGCGGGTGCAAAGAGAGCCAACGGAAACACAGCAAAGAAATGGATCGAGAATATCTCCAAGCGAATACCGATTCGCGACTATTCTTCGATTTTAACGACGGTAATCAGACTGCACCAGATAACGCAACTACGACAAGTCCACCTAACAACACAAGTCCGTCTAACAATACAAATACAACGCATCATCATCATCATTATTATCATTATGGCGGTCATACGGAGTATCCGCACTTTTCGGGATATTACGGTGGGTATCCACAGAATATACACCACGTGGATCTCACAACAACGCCACCGTACAACCAGGTCAGCTATAACGTACCGTATGAACAATCCACTAATTTTTATCACGACAATAAATATAATGTTTATTCGGAATATAATCCACCCTTTTCCGCGTCGTTCTCGCCCGATCAGACAAACGAACATACAGGCGTAGACGCTAACCGATTATATCCTTCGGGATATCCTCAGCCACCGAACATCGGCGATGGTTTTAAACCCCTAACATAAGCCACATTCCTTACACAAAGCTCATTACATTCCGTCAAATAGTAAAGTAGTTTGTATCTAGTGAACTTACAAAAATTTAAATGTTTGCAATTTCTTTTTAAATAAAGATATCTAAATCTATAAAATAAATTACGATGCTGAGGAGAAATCTTGGACTAATTTAATGTAAAAGTTTGTGTGTTTAATGCATCTAGCATGATACACATTAAATTAATTTTCGAATCACGTATATACTAAAATTAAGGAAATTTCTAGAACCGTCTGATATATTTCGTAAAATCGAGACATTTTTATTATAATTTAGTCTTTCTGCGTATAATTTGATTTTGTATACATTAGCGAGCATGCCCTATTTAGACATTTTTTTATTAAAAAATGTCACCTGGGTTAAGATAGTTATTAGAAAGTTTTCTCTTTATATTATATTTTACGACATCTAATGTTGTACTATTTAGAAAAAGGTGATTATTCACGAAATGTTTACAACATTTGTTAACAGATAACAGAGATATATACTGTACTGTCAATTATTGAAATATACATATTGTTTGTCTATTTTATCTAGAGGCATTTTGATTTATGGCATTCTTACTAGTTTAAATATAATTATTACCTTAGCAGATTTGATACAATGTGTATTGGACTATAAGAAATATATGTACAATTTTTTGTAAATTACGTTTTCTATAACATATAATATTATCAATAATTGTACTTGATTAGTAGAGAAAAGTCCTCTGTTATGAGATAGGATTCTAATATGAGATAGCAGGTTTTCAACGTCCAAATTCAATCAAAAATCGTTTTTTGCAACGATTGCACGATTCAACAATCAATTTTCCGCTAAACAGATTTCACTCGAAGGACAATAAATTCACGGTGGAACCAACAGAAGACGCCTATTAATTGAGCAGAAACTCCACTATCTCATATTAAAAGCCTATCTCATAATAGGGGACTTTCTTCTACATAACTTTATTTCCTAAAGATTTAATTATTGCCTAGAAGAAAAATCTACAGCTAATGAAATAGAACCTTGAGAAAATGCATAAACATTGGATGAGAAATGCTTTGGACATTATGCGTAAAAATTCGAATAAAAATCATAGAAAGGTTATATGAATAATTATTAATTTTCTGTAGCTAGAAGCCCAATTGCGTATAACTTCTTATTCAAATCATATTATACAGATTATTGCTAGAAAAAAAATCCTGCGGGTAATTGTGAACCAATCCACAACTTTTTTAATCACTGCACCGCTGATATTTAATTCTGTGATCGACTCCGTAATTGATAACTTTATTGAAAGCAGTTGCGACGTGTAAAAGTAATACTTGACGAGAACGTCCATTATAAGAATTTCGTGCTCTGGGTAATGCGAGTTTCTACACGTGCAGCTTGTTTGAACAATTGCTCACGGGATTGCACAGTTGTTGGGGATTGATTTTGCGCGAGCCAATCAATGAAACGATCCACTACTGGTATTCGAGTTTCGCTGATCGGCGCGAGTAGCACAACGACGACGACAACTGCCATCGGAAATAAACGTCGGATAATAAATAAATGAGTGTTCCGTCGGAGTCTCGGACCAATTGGACGTCGTCGCTCGCAAGGAAGAAACCTGTTTTATTTTCGGACGAGTTTGGAGGGCTGGGCTTCTCGTCTATTTCGAGAAGGCCGCCAACCGCTGGTATTGTGTCTTTAAAGATGGTACTTTGCAGTTTTCGCGCGTAATTTTTCAGCCAGCGGACTTTCGTAATCTAAATCGCGCATCGACATTCAGCTCGCGGCAATGAGCGAGGTGGCGTTTAAAAACGAGAAGAACGCAAGAGCACGTTTATCTTCATTCTCGAGATAACACCGTTGGTCAAGATTACAATTATAGGATAAAAAGGAAGCGGATTAACGCGCGCATCCGGAAAGAAATGTAGGTTGCGGAAGACGCGGAAAAAGCGCGGAGTGCGCGCGGATGCGATATGTAAAAGCGTACACCCGTATTTAAACATCGTCGTCGTCGCGCTTTCGCTCTTAACATGCTCAGGCGGCGCGGTTTCAACAAGTCGCGCGTGCCTCTCTGTTCCGATGAGCGTGCGAGAGACGAGGGAGCTTTACAGGCGGGTGAGTCAATCGCGAAACTCTGACACGCCGCGATTACAGTAATTTCCCTCGATCGTTACACTCTCGGCGTGACGCGCGTGTATACGATACGCGGAGTGGCACGTCGCTCGCCCGCCGATTCCGTGAGTTCGCGGCGCGATTATGTGGGTGAGCCGTGTCGGTATCGCGTGCGCGATTGTGCAATAAACACGAGATAGGAAACGATCGGCTTCCTTCGCGGAAGTGTCGAGCTTTCTTTAAAAACGGCGATGCTATCGACGCCACGTGGCCGGTTTAATGCCCATTTCTCTCAAACGTATTGTAAATAATTCCGTTTCGAAGCACATGGCTCTCGCGTAACAAGTTCCGTTCAGGATCATCTCTGCGAGACGTTTCTCGAGCGAGTTACCGTAGGAATGATTGGAACAGATCCGCCTGTCGCCTCGCGGACTTCGTAGCGCTTTTACTTGTTTTACGTTACGCATTTCTACGCGCCACGAATAATCTAGCACGATTCTGATAATTTTAACGATGCGATTTCACGATGGTCTGTAATAGTTTCTTTCGCAGCGACCAAGTCTCAGACTGCAGTCACTTCTAGTTTCCAAATGATGACCTACCAAACGCACGAAACATTTTACTTTCAAACGGGAATAACTCTGGCCGGGACGAACGAATGAGATTCCTTGTCTTACGTTCAAGACCGAGACTGCCGATTAATCGCGCTATGTGCATACGTGTAATCTACGAAATCGGACTAGATCGGGTCTCTTTAAATCTAAATATATACCGGTCAGAGTTGAACGCCCTGGGATTTCCGGTTCTTGGCGTGTGCACTTCGCTTTCCCCCCTTCGCGGTCCTTTTTATTTTTCGTACGAGCACTTACGTCTCCTCGTATCCTCTTCTCATACCCACTTTCTGCTGTCGGCGATCTCGTTTTTTTTTCCACGCGAAACCCAATAGCCCTGTATCCTCTAGGATACTCCAGGACTATTTCCTGCGAGACTGCGCCGGTCGAGCCGGATGGGAAACCGCAAATGTAAAGCCCCATACATAGTCCCACTTCCCAGTGACAATGTGTACGCAATTCACTACAGGTATTTCGTACGAGAAGAAGCAGTTATTGAACTTTTAAGTAAGTCCTTTACTCGAGTCATTTGCGAGATTAGATATTAGATTCTTTTGAATAGCAACAACTATTCATACTAAAGATTATATATTTGCTAGTCGTCCCGAGTCGAAATTTTGGCTCTATGTTGAACCTTTAATTTTATTATATAGTAGGACCTAAGACAATAAAAGAGGTCGAACTGCAAGTACAAAATTTACTCCTACTTAAAAACTGATAGTGTCGGAAACTTCTACTTTTGCCAATTTAGCATTAAAGTAGGTCCTTTTAAGTAGGCGCCAAAGTAAATTTTTGGAATTAAAGATTCATCAAGGGAGGAGTAAAAAATATTATGTCATTAAAGTAGGTTATTGCTGGTCTATGTAGGTGTAAGTTAACTAGTGCCAAAATTTCGACTCGGGATAACTTATTTGAAAGACTGTATTGTCGACCAGAGTATAACGACATTTATGAAAGTAAATTAGAAATTTGAAAAGTAACTGAACTGCACGTTTAGCAATGGTGATTAATAAAAGCGATTAATAATGACTGCAATTTCTGTGCGATTGAGATGGCGATTTGGCGAAATTGTTCGGAATATTTGGGCGGACTCTCCGAATCAAGTGCTTGTCGAGATTCGTTTCTTAGGAGGACTCGAAAGGGTGCTTCACTCGTCGCAACGTGCAACGCTAATAAAATATTGCCGAGTCGTACGCACGTGCGTCGTGCACACAGAAGCGAAACGGCTCGTTCGGTGTGGTAAATGCACCACGGTTGGGTAAGAACCCTGGCCTCGTGTATGGGGGACGACAGAGGAGAGACAGCTGTGGGGCAGCTGGCAGCGCGTGCCATGAACCTATGGGGTCTCCTTCGAGCGCGGACGCGACGGACGATGATATCCTATATTCCGTCGCACGTAAGTAACGGCAGGTTTCGAACAATGCGATGTTCCCGAGCTTCGTCTATCCTTGGCATCAAAGAGAAACGTAGCTGGGCAGCTACGAATTATCGCTGCCTGGTTGCCTACCCCCGGAAGCCCCGTGCAATAAAACTCCTTACGATTATCTACGACTGCGATTTGTTAGCATAACGTGTATAAGTAGCATCCTGGAGACTACCTCACATTGATTTTCATAAGGACGTAATCGTAACTCGGTTCTGATGAGACATAAAACTATCTCTGGAGGACGGTATAGCGAAATTCATGCTGGGCCTCTATTCGAAACGTTATGATAATGGCTGAAATAAATTTGCTCGAGTTCAACGTTAATGATAAACGAGCATTTCTATACGAGACACTTACGTCGTATTTTCATACAATAAAGAAGGAGAGATTTCCTCTTTCACGATATTAATATTACTAGTATACGTATGTTAATAATGCGAAGCAACGCACGAAGTTGTACTTGGAAAAATCGCTTTCGCAGAAAACATTCTAATTATTCTAATCCAATGAAAGTGCAATAATAAAATAACATTTTCCCGAAGTCAACTAATAAATAATTTCTGTGTAGAAAGTACGATGCAATGTAACATTTCGCTGTATTAATTTATGTACTCGGTATTTAATTGCAGGTAAAAGTATTATAACGTGGCGTTAAGATTCTCGATAGAATTTCAAAAGAATCATCATACAATGCGGGATGCCGGATATCCTGGCATTCTATAATTCAAGATAACACGCATTTATTTTCTGTATGCGTTGCATTTGTTCATGCAAGGCATCGGAAAGGTGCGCTTTCCTCGTGAGTTTTTCACCGGCTCGAAAGAAAAAGGATCAGCGCGTTCAAAGCTTTCGGGGGAGAACGTTTCAGGCCAGCGAACATCTGCCGTCGTCTGCAACGATAATAATTCGAACAGCTGATGCTCTTCCGCGGACCACCGCCTCGCCTCGTAGATCCCTAAGAGTCGTTTCGCTTTGTTATACACTTTCGTAGGAGAAATTCTCGCGGAATAAAGAAAATGTATCTTCTATTTTTCGGTCTAATAAAACTCTCTTAACGACTGTTCCCACAATGAATCCCACACAAATATGCTTTTGTTTATTGAAATATACTTTTGATGCAGATTATAAGGGACTACTTTCGTAAATATATTTCTAGAAAGGGACCTCATGACGAAAGTAGATTTAAATGGTATTCGTTTGCATTATCTTCTCGTAAGAATATATCGCATACATAATGCATATATTTACGTAATAATTCTAATTGTTATATAAAAGTCACGTGCTTGTCTTACGTCTGTCATCTATATTTGTCCAATGGGACACATCGTTGAAAGTTTTGGGTCAAAATTCCAATCGATGCGAAAGACTAAGTATTTAAATGAGCTACAATTACGTCGTCGCGTTTCGGCGAAGCCCCGTGGAAAATCCATTGAGAGCACAAACACCCCAGAAGAGAAAAGATCGACGACTTGCCCGCGATTTATGCAGGCTCCCCGCCGCGCACACGTGCTTCTCGGGACAATCGATCACCCGGCAACAAGTCATTACCCTGCCGTGCCCGCGAGAAGCATCTCACCGGCGCGGAACCCGCGTCGTCGAGTACCGCGTGAAAACGCCGATCGGACCCGCTTTTTGAATTTCAGCGCTCGTCTTTCCTGGGCATGGGGCCGGCCTGCGTGCGCACGTACGCGCGAGTGGGAACGGACGTTGGGCCAATCGAGAGGCCCGACGGCGGGCCAACTGGCGAGGAGACTGGCGAGCTGAAGCGCCATGCAGTAGCCGCGGCAACTCAAACGAAGGACTCGGCATTCGCACGTGGGCCTTCGTCGGTGTCGGTTGCGTTTCGCACGCGCTCACGATCGCAAGAGACGAGCGCCGTTCACGAGCGCGTGGTGACTCCCGCTGGCCGAGTACGAGCCTCTTCTGACGTAAAAAAAGAAGGTGCCTGCGAGTATTCGCGAGTATCCCCCCCCCCCCTCGCCCCCTAAACGAGACCGAACAGTCTTTCCGGAAGTGCATCGTGATTTTATGCCTCGTACAGATCACGTGGATTCTACACGGGCGGAAGATCCCTCCTAACCTTGGTGTGTAATTCTGTTTGTGTATCGTCATATTGGGATTATCACGGCGGTGGCTGCAGTGCAACGGACGGGCCGTACACAGTGCGTGAAGAAAGAGAAACGTAAGTGAGCGAGAATCTCTCAACGTTGACCGTTGATAAAATGGAGAAACAGACGGCCCGGTGATTACATTTGCGTTATTGTCGCGACGGAAACTGAAATATTTGAACGTAGAACTGCGTGCGCCAATCTGAATCGATCCCTCCCGATTGCCTTCAGGAGGCAATTGCGATTAAACTGCGGCGTACATTCCACTTCTCTCTTCGATCGGTCTATTTTCGATCGGCGTGCCGTCCGCTGTTATTTCTTTTGAAAATAGCACACTTGGCTACAAGATAACTCGTAAAAAAAGAAAGAGTCATCAGTCTTGCGCGTTAACACGCGTCATATTTAATGCATGTCCTGTACAAAGCTGCTCGTCGTGTCCGTTGTATGAATTTTGGAACCGCGCGGCTCATTAACATTGATGGCTATCATTAGTGTTAATTAACGCTAGTTAATTGCTATCATTATAGGCGTATCGCGTTCTCGCATCGCGGACTTATTATTAATGTAAAATTATGTGAGATCGATACTAGATTGATTTTTAATCTCCGTGCGTATAAATCCACGTTTTCATTCGTCCGAATTAAATTCTATTCCGTATCGATGGAGATGCTCTGTAAAATTGTTCTTTATTTGAATTTCACGAGACTTCGCGAGCTGTTTAGCGATTTAATACCGAGAGATCGCTGAGATTGAGAGGCAATAAACAGAAAAGAGTACAACGCGCGCGGAGACAAACAAAATAAAAGTAATCATCGAAATGAATTAAACGGTGCCAACGACGGCTGCAGCCGTTAGGCTTGTTTTCTGTTGCTACACTGGCGAACTGGCGCAATAAATTAGACTAAGACAAGTATATATTTTTTCTCATCCGAGCTTACTGCACTAGTTCACCAGTGCGGCAATGGGGAAAACAAGCCTATTGCGTGCGGCTGCTTTATCCTTGGAAGATACGAAGCATTTAACCAGCTATGAGGGAAACGCTGTCACTGCCTCGCTCGCCTCCTGCATATCGCGACATTGAGATGCACCGATAAAATTGGATGCATCGCCTCGCGAACGCGCACTGGCGCGCGCTTCCCTGCGATCCCCCGGCGCGATCTATACGATCAGCCGGCACGAAACGGCGGGCGTCTAGAGCCTCGGGTGCCTGCACCGTGCCCGATTTTGCCTGTACGTGGAATTGCGCGGCGCGCGAATTTTGTGCGCCCAGGAAACTCTGTTTATCCCGGCCGCGGAGCCGCGCGGTGGCGCGTGGCCATCTTGCGCGTTCGTCAAATGGTCTGCTTCTTCTCTCAGCTGTCCCCTCTCAACCCCCGTTCAACGGCCTGGCCGTCGCGACAAAGGGCGACCGGGCACGTGTTCCCCGATGTTTATTAATAAACCCCGACGGTCGTGCCCGACAATTTTGCCGAGCTGGTACCGTCTGGAAACGGACGCAGGTGATAGTGCGTCTGGCTTGAAAAACTGCTCGGAATGACACCCGTGGTCGCCGCGCGGATATTCCTTTATTCGTCGCCGCGCATGTCTGTTTATTTAACAACTTAGATAGCGAAATAAAATAGCGTCGCGACCGGTCTTTAAAATCGTACGCGTACAAAAAACGAATGGCTTGAATTTCGGATTTGAACTAGAACGGCAATTAATGCATATCTTTAATTACAGAGCGCAGGTCGATAATTGAAAATAAGCCGACCATGGCGATGCTCTGGAAGCATTTCAAACAGAATCACATCTGCTTTTCTTTCCCGTGGAAAGCACGTGAAAGAAGACTTGGCAAGTTTGCATAAGAACGTGGAAGTTATTTACTCGCGAAAGTTCGCTGCGATTTTTCTGCTCGTCTTATCTTGAGAGGTAACGGGACTGGTCTAAGTCGAGTTATGTTAATGTTCGATGTTTCCTTCGGAAGTTCGCTAAGTTTTGTAAATTTTATGAAACGTCGTAAAAGCTGGATACAGAATCCACTTTACATCGCCCGTGTTAAATTCCTGTTCGCTCTCGAAATAGTAATGAAAATCGAAGTAACACTGGTTACTTGAACTCGAGGGGGAAACCGCCGACCAAAATCTCGTACACCAATGGCCACTAATGCCCAGTGGGCATTACTTAATCTTATTATCTTATTTATCTTGTTTTATTTATCTCGTAATGCCGCAAATCTGTACAGCCCAATGCTCTCGGCGGTGTTTACCCCTCGCTTGAACTTTTATCTTTCCTTTGTTAGAAACAAATTTCTCGAAGACACGAATGTCGGAAGTTAATCTTCCATTGACCGTAGAATAATTAAAGAGGATTGATATAAAAATTATACACGTGCAAACTACGCGTACATATTTTATGCGTAAAAGCAGACTTCTATCACGGAGCGATTATGAAATAGAGGCATATTATTTCACCATATTTGTACTATATGAAAAGTACTATGACGTAATAATAATAATGCGCCGATATTGCGAGCACAGGTAACAATTGCTGATCTCTCTAACAGCACCGAGCGAGGGTGTTTCTTTCTCCCAGACGTTCTAACGTGCGATTAACAGCGTACGTGTTTTCTACAGCTGGTATCTCCGATACAGAAAAACACCAGCCGCGCAATTTTCACGCTATCGACGGACAAGTAGCGCATAACGCTCCTTCGGCCCGCGAATCGTCGACGTATAAACTTTCAGCAGACGTGCAACGCTTATTGTCAATCGTGCTTCAACAAGTGTTCCCGCACGAGATGCAAACAATTTGATAATGACGTTATCGCCTACGTGGCGAAGCTTCGTCGCGTACAAACTTGCCGCGGCAAGTTTTGCAGGAAGACGTGGACACGCGCCAATTAGTCCCCGAAAGAGAGAAATTGTCTCGAAATTTATTTGACAGCTACACGCTACAGCGGAGCGTATATATATATTTTTTGTGCGCAAGAACTTGGGCAGGTGACACGCGCTTTAAAATTAATTAAATTTACATAAATATGTGTCAAGTGGGATTAAAGATAGTTTTATTTTGATCCTGAATATGCTTTAAAATTCAAGTGAGGGAAAGCTATGTAAGATATACTGCTAGCAATTAAAGATTTTTCTTTAGATATTAAAAACAATTTTGTTTCTCTCGTATATCTTCTTAATTGCGATAATTTAGTGGGTGAATGCTCAGTGATGACGTTTAAGGGGATGCTGGAGTGACTCTGCACTTTTGCATCTTTCTAACCTAGAAACTGTCAGTTCACGGAAACACTTGTGTAATATACAAATGGCTTGCGTGTACAGATCGAAAGCAGCTCCCGGCTAAATTAAAGAACAACATGGCATCACTCAAACTTAGTTTATAAGTCTAATAAGAAATAATAGTGAACAGCACGTGTAGTATGTTGCTCGCTATTCTTTCTTATCAGACTTACAAACTTAGTTTCAGTGATGCCATGTTGTTCTTTAATTTAGCCGGGAGCTGCTTTCGATCTGTACACGCAAGCAATTTGTATATTACACAAATGTTTCCACGAAATAGACAGTTTTGAGTGCAAAAGGTGCAAAAGTGCCGAATCGCTCCAGCATCCCCTTAAACTCGCGGGCTTGTTTTTGGGTTAACGCGCTTTTCACTCGCGCCTCTGCAATTAACTCGCGTACACCCGACACCTTTTCGTGAAACCTGACGAAAGCCACGCGTGTTTTTCGAAAGACTGGCCTTTGCGACTTTGGCCGAGAGGATATTTTCGCGGCCGCTTTCGTGGAGCACATGGCAATCGGCCAGTGCCGAATGCACGCTCGACGCGACCGAAAGACAATGACGTCTCGATGTTACGCGTCCCGATGGGAACTTGTCGCCTAAGTGCGGCGCGTCCGAGAGGAGTACATTCTTCTCGTGCACCGCGGGGTGTCCGCGCAGTCCACGTGTGAGCTATTAAAAAACCAGTGCTTCTCAAACGAGTATTCGCGCTCTTTAAACATTCCGCCAAGTTTTCGTCGCGCGAGGCACGGATCTCGCTCGCCTCGAGGCGGATCCTATTTTGCGCGTGCGAAACAGTGCACCTCGCCGGTAAATACAGCTGGAAATTGGTCGAAATCCTCGTGTCTCGCGATCGTCCGAGTATTCCGATTGCCGTCTGCCTCCACCGGCTTACGAGCCAGCCGGCGTACAGCCATTGTTTCTACCCTCCCCGAGCCGTGCCTCTTATTACCTGAAGGGTTGGAACTGCTTTCACTGACGCCAGTACTGGCCGACGGCGCGCTTTCACACAGCACGACCACAAAGCTCGAAAATATTACCAAGTGAAAAGTATTTTTCTCACGTCGCTCGTGCTTGCGGTGAAGAGAGATTGATATTTTATACGCGAGATGTCGAAGATCAAAGTACGTTTCACGTAGGCAAATGCGAGATAACTGTTGACATTGTGCTTCCAGCTTTTAACGAGGTGTCTACCGCGGTGGGGTTTGTCGAATCTATCCGTTTTATTGTTTAGTTTAGAGAAATTATTATTGTTTGGTTTAGAGAAATTATTACTCAATACTGTCGCTTGAGAATTCAATCGCTTCCGTTTTACGTTATTGCTATTAACACTTCTTGCTTCGCGAACTACCTGGTGTCACGTTATATTAACATTCCAGAGTGTGGAATTAAACATGGTTCATCCGATTTAACAACTTTACATTATGCTTTTAATTACTCGCTGAGAAAATGTTTGAAAAAGATAAATTGCATGGTGTCCAGGGGGGACATTTTCTTTTTGCACACGATTATGTCCGAGGTTTCGAAGTGTGACTTATGATTCGTTAAACGGAGCTAGTCTTGTTTGAAATTACGCCTCTCGTACAAGCAGTAGTTAAAGAAGAATTTACGATCGTTAACTTGCAAATTATAAGGCGCATTACTCCCTGTATATTACTTTAGGTTGGCTCGTAATGATTTACGAGTCTAGATTTGGAATTTCGTCGACATAGCTATGCCTTTACGCTGCGATATATTTGGAATACAAACGTTGCCACGGAAAGTATTTCTAATCGCAGGTAGATCGTAGGGCGCCGAGAAAATTACTTTTCCACGAAAACGTTTCGTACGGATTCAACGTGAGCTAGGACGTCTAGGGCAGAGCCGAAAGATGGTGAAGGAGGAGAGGGCGGCGATGGCAATACAACAATATGATTATACGGCGTGCTGCACCGGTTTTCTGCAGCAGCTGCCGTCGTTTTGGGGGATCTCGGCCGGGAACCGACGGTCGTTCTGTCCAAGTACCGGTAGAAAAGGGCAGAAGGAGGGATGGGCGAGGAGAGTAAGCGGGGTTTACGGCCGCTCAGAGGCCCCTCTGCCCTCGCCGTAGGGCCCCGGCGCGCACAATATGTTCGGGCAAGAAGAAGCGAGAGTGTGTTGAAAACGCCGAGTGAGAGAGGAAAAGGGACGTGACGGGGGAAAAAGGGCCCTTTCTCCCGCTTCTATCGGCGCTGAACGCGTTGCAGAAACTCGAAAGACGAGCCGTACGAAAAATGCTCTACTACCTGGTTCCCTCGACCGTTTCGGTCTCTACGCGAGGAGCAAAACTGGCTCTCTTTTCAGGTTTCTTTAGAGAAGAGCGCGCGCACGCGAAAGAGAGAGAGGGAGGGAGCCTTGGATGGAGGTCATGGTCCTTCCTCCTTGCCCTTTCTTCTCCGTCCGTACGGCCCTCTTTGTCGGGGCTAAAGCCCTCTCGCTTCTTCTCCGTCTTGCCGACCCATCGGATTTTCCCCGGTGCAGGGGTTCAGTTTCTACGCAAAAGGGAGCTTTTATCTCTTCCCTTTGTGTCCGATGGAGTCATCGATTCGAGCGTGCTAGAGAGGGACGGTGGACGAGAGTAATGTACGCGTCGGATGAAGCTAGAAGACGATTCGTTTTCGTCACCCTTCGGCTCTCGTGCTGCGCGACCTATAGGAAGCGGCGAGTGCAGATGTAGCCGCGTACCGTGCTGCAGCATTGCATTGCAAATATATAGGTATTTTTTATCAGTTTGTGACGCCGAATATTTTTCCTTCATTGTGTTATTTAATTTCTTACGTGAGAAATCACCGTTGCCTTCCCATACGAATTTCGGCACAGGTAGAACACATGTGCATTTACCATGTATGTATATGGAAAATGCATAAATGTGTTGATATGTGCACAAATTCATGTGGGAAGACGTCAGTGATTCCCACTGCTCTGGGAAAAGAAAGACAGCAACTCATTTTGGGGCCTGCAATTCGTAATCGAATCATTTGGATTGTTCGTAACTACTCTGGGAAAAATTTTGACCGCTTTTTTTTGTAGTTAAGCAACTTAACATCCCGGTTTGTGCCTCTTAAGTGAAAATTATCTTTGCGTTACTGAATCTCGACAGAACTAATTGAGAGAATTGGTTAGTATTACTTAAAAATCTTGTATATAAAAGATATAATAGATAGAATAGCTAATTGCGATTTTTAGTTACGCGGAGTAAAAGTCGTAAAAGATTCGAGTTACGAACAATCCAAATAATTCGATTACTACTCGTGGGCCCCAAAATGGGTTGCCAACTGTCTTTTTTCCCCCAGAGTGTACGCGTGAGTGCATCGCTACAAATAAAACTAATAAATCCGGTCAGCAAAAGTTGCCAATAAATTTTGCGACGTGTTTCTCGTAGCGAAACAAGACGGTGACATGTTTAATTCAAGCTGTGAGTCGATTATTGATTATCTTGTATTCGGATTTTTAAAAATAAGAATAAATACTTAATTTTTGTTACGCGCCAAGCACGTGAGTAACAACACGAGCTCTACTTTAATAATTTTAATATGTTTATACGTTGTTTTATCGCTGAAGCCACGTTATGACATGATTTATTATGCAGGGAAAGTTATTTTGGGACATATTGCTCTCGTGCACACGATTTTACTTTTATGAATCTTTAAAAGCAAAATTTCGCTATTTAACCAAGTTCTAAAATAACACAGCGTAAAATAATTCCATAGAAGCAAAGTTTCTATCTTTCGATATCTCGGACAAAATACATTTTGTGTACACATTATTACGCCGTAATTTCTGTGGGAAATGTGTGTGCTGGAGGAATTGGTTCAACGCTAAAAATTAATTGATTAGACATTAATCGCTTATTAATTATATTTGACGCCTAAGCGTAATTAGTGTAATCCCACGTTGTTGCGGTAATTGCTTTTTCAAGTTCTGCTTGGCGCCTAAGTAGGGGCAATATCTCTTTTTTGTGCGAGAGAATTTCCGCATCCATTTCACTCAATTACGATTCCCCTTTCACTCAAGCCAACGCGAGCGAGCCGCGTATACTTATAAATCAGCGAAATAAAATTCCTCGAGAGAAAAGTGAGTAGCGCGCTTCGTTTACAATTGTGCTAGGCACGCTGACACGTACGTATCAAAATATGTACATCATTATAATGGTACGCGCTAAGTACGCGTGTCGGCTTGGCTGCACGCTTAAAACCTAATTATCACGAAACTCGCACACGTATACACGCACCGAGCTTGCATGACGCGGTGCAACGGTTCTTTCACCCTCGTAAGGGTGAGAATTGGATCTTTTCAGAGCTTCTAAACCGCACGCGTGCGGCCCCCTTAATTGGACGCGGCTGAATTAGACAATAACGCGACACACAAATTAATCCTCCCGTAACAAACATACCACTTTGAGAGCACAATGTAGACCAAGCGTCATTAAAATGAATGCGAGATGTCCGATCATTTATACCGAATTTAAAGAGACTCTGCGCGTTATGTCACGTACGGTTGTTCTGTTTAAAGCATCCACTGTGCATCGGAAATGAGAGCGTTTATAAACTTCTTTGTTGTTTTCTCTCAATGCAAAATAGCGAAATATCATTCTTTGTGAAATAAGAAAAGATTGAGTGCTATTCTATTGTGTCTCTATTTTACTCTATGTCACGTAGGGTTATTCTGTTTATTTAAAACATCCACTGTGCATCGGAAATGAGAGCATTTCAATAATGAGTGAGATTTTTGTCAATTAATATAAATTTCTTTGTTGCTTTTTCTCAATGCAAAATAGCGCAATATTATTCTTTGTGAAATAAGAAAAGATTGATTGCCATTCTGTCGTGTCTCTATTTTACTCAAGCGAGATGGAAAGTAGAAGCGCTATATGCAGGTTTCACTCATCGTTCTCGCGTAGTATTTAAATCTGAAGTAGAGACGAAAATACATACGTGTCGATTTCATTCAAAATATTTTGTTCTCTTTAAAACGAGTTTCCACTGCTGCCGTAAACGCTTTACGAGACGACAACATTTTAGACATAAAGTTAAAAATAAGTTTGTTAACGAAGAATTTAAGAGCTTTAGATTAATCCTTCGGACAAAGAACCCACAAATAAAATTTCCAAGATCGTGTGAAAATTTTTTTAAATAAAATTTTGCTTCTTTCTTCATGTAAAACGTATCTTCAATTCGCCTTTCATACGTTCTTTCTCTCAAAGAAATCTCGATCCCAGTTTTGTCGAACAATTCGTGTTTAAAATATCAATTTTGTCTACGATTTACTCTAAATCAAATCACAGTAGAGACACGCTTACATTTCTTAGCTTGTCGTCTCCTTTCTTCATCTTTATATATTTTTTTTTCGACTTTAACGTACATTTCTTTATGTTTCCAGAGTAGGAAACGTTCCGTGTCTAAATGCTGCACGGCTTGTGGCGTTATTAACGTTGACCGAGGTACCAAAGAACGTGTCAAGATTGAGCAAGTCGTTGTCCCGTCTGGCGGTGATCTCGCCAAAATTTGGAGGATGCTGATGCCGGGTGCCGCGGGTCTCGGTGTGGGCGCAGTCGGCGCCGTGGGTACTGTGAGTGCCCCGGCGCCCGACGAGTTGGTGCAAGGACTGGGGGCCCTCGCCGGTACTACGCCGCAGCAAAAGGACACGACATGGACGAAGCTGTTCGTCGGTGGCCTGCCCTATCATACCACCGACAAGAGTCTCAGGGAACACTTTAACGTTTACGGAGACATCGAGGAAGCGGTCGTCATTACGGACAGACAAACTGGCAAAAGCAGGGGCTATGGCTTCGTAAGTAATTACGTATTAATAGATTTGCATATATTCGACTTAATGTGATATTCGATATAAATTGAAGTCCTATAAATTCGTTCTCCGTTTCGCAGCTGCTGTAGTTTTTGTCGAATTCGTGACAAAAAAAAGATACCCGCCGGCCAGTCGATACTCGAGCAGCCAGCATAGTCAACCGGGTTGACTATGATAACTTTATACGAGACTATAAATTTTCAATCTGTTTTTACATATGCACATAAACTTATTGTTAGCCTTTCCGCTCGAGATAATGCCCTAATGCTCTTTCTTTTGCATCGTCTACGTCGTCCTCGTATCTGTTTCTTTCGCGTGCATTTATAGTGGGCTGATAATATGAAAACTTACTTTGATAATATGAAAAATAACTTTGTTAATATTGTTCCTGGACAAATTAACATTGAGATATGGTATCTTTAATTTTTATCGTTATTTAATTTGCTCGTTCAAGAAAATTAAATTGTGTGTTTTAATAAGTGGCGTAACGAAATATTAAACCATTTAAATATGCATGGATAGCTAATTAAAAAAATTTTTTTACTACTGTTATTAATTTGTTAAAAGATACTTTACTCAGCAACAAGCTTTTGATAAGTCGAGATACTTTCTATAGAACTTTAGTTTTCGAGTGAAAGAGTTTTGAAAACATTTTTTGTATACTTGAGAAAAAAATGCGTATTCGAGCTCATTCTCGATTAATCGAACGATGAATTTACTCTGTGCGTAGGTAATTATGGGAGATAGACCTGCGGCGGAGAGGGCATGCAAAGATCCCAACCCTATCATCGACGGTCGCAAGGCAAACGTAAATTTGGCCATTCTCGGGGCTAAGCCCAGGGGTAACTTGCAAACGAGTAAGTATGTTCTACTGTACATTTTATTTGGGAGACTAAGAGCGTTTGCCAATTAATCATTCCTCGTTATGTAAAATTTGTCTTTCAATATACTACAATATCAATTTATTGTAGAGATTGCTAGACAGACTCTTAAACACGAACGCGTAATAAGCTATTGTTATTATGAGTGAATTATTTTGATTGGAAAAGTATTTATACCAAGTCCTCAACTTCATTTATTTTTCACTAATAATGGCTGGCCTCTAAATTATATCGAGATAATTATGCAAAACTGACCTAACGTCGTCTCAATTGCTATTGAATTGTTCACGAAGATCAACAAGACTTTCGCATTTAATGTTTAGTTGTATTCGAAATTTCGTTAAGTTATCCAGGTCTAAATTTCTGGCTTACCCGTGCGTTTTTAGCGGGTTAAAAATCGCGATCACATCATTTCTGTCTAGGAACAACATCGTATTTCTCATTTGAATTCCGTGTTTTTGATATTTGCGTGTTGCAGTCACGAGTTTTACGCTGTTGATACGTTGCCAGGTCTGAAACGTCGTTCGTTGCAGCAATACGCGCATCTTGGACACGTAGGATAAGAAATCTGTCGCATTATTTAGTAATCATACACGTCCAACTTTTGAAGATGATAATTTATCTTCGACGTTAATTGCGACAGACAAAATATTGTATAGCATTTAAAATGGTGCGGCACACTTCGAAGTTTCGTCTAACAAATAATATACGAAAAACACAACGTTGATTTTTATATACTAGTAAACTGTACAACGTAGATGTGAAACGGGAAGAGCGAATGACGATCAGCCAAGTAGTAAAGTGTCCCCTGAGTCATTCTCGCGAACTTTCTTGGTGGCTTTGAGCCAGCATAGCTTGGCGCTTCGAGACCTAAGTCTAAATTTGCGTTAACCCGAGTACCGGTCTTGTCTGGCTTTCTTTTTTTCTGATACAAGAATTATCTCTAGTTTAACGCGGAGTGGCAATCTCGTTTTCAAGTCAAGTTTCAGCTGCCAGAATACGTTTGATTGTTTACAATTGCTTTTGATAACAAATTACTTTCCGTATCCGTATCCATCTCATCTTTTGTAAAAAAAAAAAACTCTAGTTCAAGTTTCTGATATGTGTCGACAAAAGTTAGAGTCATAAAAATTTAATAAAAACAAGAGTGGAACAAACGTGGCTATTTATAATTTAGAAACGTTTCGAGTTTATTCGCTTTAAAGATTAGAAAATCTTTTACATATCTAGTTTTTGATTATTCTGGAGCTTCAAGAATTCTATCAAAAAGTATTTTGATTCGAGACAGAAACAGAAAGTTATTCATTCCATCTCCTAAATTTATCTTTTCTAATTATCAGGATTACTTTTGATACGTAAGATTCTAAAAAAAAAGCAGAAAGATAAAACTTTGTCAATTACATTGAATTTCTAAAAATATGACTGTACTGTAAAATATACTATAAAATATATCAGCTTGAGAAAAGTGATATGCGCCATGTTACAACGGGAAGGACGAAACATGTAGTATTCTTGATAGGACGGCAATCGTGATATATTCGGTTACATGGCCATTTCAAGTTTATTACGCGCCATAATGTAGCTCTCAGATAGCGAGCATGCCATTGAAGCATCAGTACGTGGATTCGTGCGCACGTTTCACGTGCACCTACGTGTCTGTTTCTATACACGTATTTATTTCTATTTGATGGCGTTGCGCCGTCAAATGGTATAAGACGTAACAACTATGGAACAGTCGTTATCAGAATTTTTCGGTAATGTAAAAAGAAAACAATGTCAAAAGACGTACAAATATTTGCGAATCAATTCCGAGTTTTCTTTACAGCCGGACGATTTACTCAGTCATCAACTCAGTCATCAAAAGATTTCTAGTCTACGATAAATCATGCGAATTTTCGTTTGTTTGATTAGCCCTTCGAGAGATATCACGCCTGCTATTTTCATAATGATAATTTCACACCGTATATCGATCTGGCAGGATTTGATAGGATACTAGTTCTATATTGATAATACCGATGAATGAAACATGACATTGCTGGAAGATATAACGCATGACACAGATTCCTGACTAAAAATACGAGTTATTTTTACAGTTCTTTCTATCAACTGTGTGAAATAATATAATTCCTAGGATCATATGTGCCGTGAATTATTAAGTTTACGATGTAACATGTGATTTTGTCCCTATTTTTACTCTTGTGATAAAATCCAAAAAGCTAAAATAGAGAATACTTTTAACATCATCATACGCTTTTGGTCGAAAAGTTTTTTTAGTTAATTTTGATCAGTTCTTAAAACGATAACAATAGGAAGAATTATATTTTTCATAAACTACTTGGCCAGTTTAAGTCGTCAAATAATTCTTCCTATTGTTAATCACCTACTGGCGATAATAATAATCTTTCTCGTCTTAAAAAGCTATCTCCACGCTTGATCAATTATGTCAAACAAAATTTCCCTTGAAAAAGAGATGTAAAAAATAGATATTTCAGGCATAGACAAAAAGAAAATTATTTCCTAGCACTTAGAAAAGGAATAATTGAATATTTCAATTACACGATAATAATACAAATGTATAGAAATAAACGAAATAAGTAGAAATATATAGAATTGGTAATTGAAAACTGAAATTCACCGATTATATTTGTGATTTCAGCATTCCCGTTCGCTGCGGGCATCCGGGCTGGTTACCCAGCAGTACTTCCCGGACAGTACGGGTGAGTCTACATTTATGTGCTTTTTCGAGGGATATTAAGAAAGTATATGTCGTAACTGTAGCTAGATCAAAGTAGCCAAAGTCAGGAATTTTCGTGATCGTTTACAATCAATGGCTACCAAATTCATTCGCTGCAAGTCAATGAAATCACGCGCGATTTTTCGTTTCTCTCGAGCGCTCGTTCAGTTATCACGTAGGCAAGTTAAATTGCAAAACAACTCGTCATTTGCGCAGCGATTATGTAAATTTGCTGTTCGATATGAAACCGAAAAAATTTTTCGAATTCCTTGCGAATTGTCGATGAGAATAAAATCTTTTCAAGTCCATCCTTGCAGCGAGCACACGAATCGTTCAATTATCCGCAAGAATTTCTCGGGAATATCGGGGATGCGACGGCAATTAATAGTCGGTAATGCAAGGTTTAAGAGCCAAGAAGCCACTCGCTTAGCGGAGTCGCACGGTCGAGTAATTTTACGAGCTTTTTTTTTAAAGACACCATATATATGACGTTTCAGCATCCTGACGCGCGCGCGTAAGGAGACGGGCAGAGAGTTCTCTTTCCGAGATCCTTGAGACGGCCAAGGGCCATTCTAAGGACCCCATATTAACGCGAAAGAGAGACAAAGAAAGAGAAAAAAGGGCAAATGTATTAGCGATCGGTGAAAGAGAGCGAGAGAGAGAGAGAAAGAGAGAGAGAAAGGGAGTGAGAGAGAAAGCGGCACACGCACACGTATCAGAAATCTACACGTATGAGTACCTACGAATTTCTTTCCATGAAGTACATAGCGAAGATCTTCCGGGGATCGGCCTGTTCTTCTTCTCCTAACGTACTTTTTTGACTGTGTTTTTTTTTCTTGTTTCTTTCTTAGTGAAACTGACGTGAAGTGATGATAATGATTGCGGTTGCTGAGAGATTTGCGATTGTTTGTTATTTGGTGTTAGTTTTTTTTTAATATTATATCTTTTACACTCTTCACACTCTTTTTCTTAATAAGCATAATATTAATAATGATAATCGTAGCAGTAATAGTCGCAGCATAGCTGTTACCTCTTCGACTCGACGTTCGTATGAAATAAAATCGAAATGCTCTGTTATTTAGCCCGATCGAAGTTTTCTTCATTACAAACAGGCACGCAAAAGAAAGACAAGAGATAACGACGTTACTATCGATCTAAACGTTATCTTGGACATTAAATAATTGGAGAAAGCACATTTATCATTTTAGAGCCCCTAAAGACTACTTCGAGATACCGAAACTGCAAATTTTCTATAACTAATTTTTCTCTTTTACTCATTCACGCATTGAGAAAAATTAATTGTTTAAAGAGCACGATACGTTAATCCATATTGCGCAGTATTATACTGCTGATTAGTTGAAGTGAAACAAAAATAAAGTCATAATTTTCTCAACTACCGATCATTGAAACTAATAAACTCGCAAGAAATTAGTGAGTGCAGCGTTGTGCTTTTTTAAACATTCTTTCAAATGCACAATCGTTTTTCTTTTCACTTTAGCGCACTTGCAAAAATTATGGTTTGACGACTCGTTTCTTTATTTCAATTCTCATGTGCACATTGTACTCCGTTTATCACAATTACTCTCTTGGTTTGCCTATGGTGGCGGGAATACTAAAACGGAGCGAGGGTAAAGCGTCTTCCAATTTTAGATACGGACTTTCGCAATGTTTCCTTTCGCGTTGGGTTATTTGTTTTTTAGTCGAAACGAACGAGGTACTTTATTAGACACTTTAACGAGTCTTGTAGCTAAGCTGGTTCCTAAACGTATTTCGTCAATCCGGCTGCATTGTTTCCTCTTTATAGAATGAAAAAAATAAAACCGTGATATGAAATGTGAATGGCACTAAAGAGCCGTATGAATTACGAAATAGAAGGTTTCTTCGTTAAATTAACGCAAGCCAAGGAAGAAGCGTATCTGATCCGCCAACGAACCGTCCGGCCATTGCTTATAAATATTTAGTCTTTCGGCATACGTAGACCATGCAGACTTCTCCTCGCGCCTCGTTTACTCGCTTAAAGCGCCTTTCGTGATTCCGCGAGAACGAGAAACGGATAGATGGAAGCTCCGAGCGCGCAGAAGCCGAGAGGACGAGGGAACGTTCGGAATTCGGTTGGATAAAGGTGAACGCGGCCGCGATTTCGCCAATTGTGAGATTTTTCTTCTTTTGGGCTCCGCCGGAAATCGACCGGCGCTGAGACACGAACGGTGTGTATTAATTTTTGATCGCGCGACGATCGATCCTGTCGCGGTTCACCTCGTTTGGCCCGGAGTGCGGAGTCTTCGTTGCCGCACGAAAATTCTCATCGAAATGTGCAAATCGCATAATAAAATGTTTGTACCAGCGATTGAAATAACCCTTCTACGAAACACAACGCCGCTTAATAACTCGCTGCCTCTTCCTAGATCACAATCGCATTTGTGATACAAATGAGCGCAACAATAGGCAGGAACGAGACGCGGCGTGTGGCCGGGTGACAAATTCGCACGTGCACACGAAACGGGACGGGAAGATCGATTTAGCGAAATTATTTCTGTAAAGCTGACACATCGGTTTAGGAGTCGCAATGGAGGCCATGCGAGATAGGTATACTCCTCCTTGGAATGCGATAAGGTGGATCGAAGTGTGCCTTTCAACGAAATACCCATCGGATGCCCGTCGAGACTGTATAGGACTCGCTAACCACTATAATATTAATAACCTTGTGTGTGTGGTGAAGGCTTACACTACACTTGGTGTCGCTATTGGTGTTGTATTTTTTGGTGTTGTACGTGGGTGGTTTTTGGACTTTCAAATAACACGGCATATCTACATTGTACCATACAGCTCCACGTCGTGAAACCGCGGAACGGATTACTTACGGCGCCGTCGGAAGTCTTTTTTTTTTAATTTGTTCCGGACATTAATTACCGGGTGTAGCGTGTACCAATTGTAGGAACATACTGCAATAACGAGTCTTCCCGAGACTACCTTGTTTTCGCGACTGGGAAAGGGTGCGTATGTACGCAGAAGGCAGGCACGCTCGCAGTTCGATTCCCTATCGCTCTTGCCGGTGATTTTTTTTTTGCAGAGTAACCCGAGACTCCCTTTTTTTCTCGCCTCTTGACGAAAGGTCGCGGGAGAGAGCCTGACTTTTCTCATCTCGCGAAGAAACGTGTCGCAATCACACGAAAGAAGATATATAGACGCGTCATGGGAAAGGGGGGGGTTCATTTTTTGTGCGATCCAACGGAGCCCCATGCAAAGGCCGATTGACTCTCGCGTGGTCGAAATTACGGGTTCGAATTATCACAGAGTCTCCAGTAAGGTCGATTGGTTTTAGCTTAGTTTTACGTAGAAGCTCGCGTTCGTAACGTAAAGAAGTTGCATAGACTTGCTCAGATAAGTTGCGCGTTATGTCAATGAAATAAGAATTGTGTTTTTAGATGGAAAATTGTTGTTTCTTTTATCACGAAATTAATCTCATTGGCGGAATCTTATGGACGTGGAACGCAGTGCGGCGCGGCGCTGTTGCTCGCGAACAATGGCAAAGTTTTTCGCCGCGGGCGAATATCCGCGGGCTGTATCGCCCGAAAACTCGCATTTAGCACGTCGACGCGCGTTATTGGCAAAAACGTCGTCGTCGGCGTCACGCATAGGCGCATAGATGCGTGGTCCGCGACGCGCGTCCTCGAATTAGCAAAACGTAGGTGGAAAAGTGAAATCCAACACCGGTCCGGACGTTGTAGTAGACGTCAGAGACGGTTCCGTCCGACGGTAAATTTGTGTCGTAAGCGAACGCCGACGACGACGACAACGACGACGACCACGACGACGACGACGACGACGACGCCGAACGTCTCGGCCGGCCATCTTGGAGCCGCGCTGGCGACGGTCCAGTCTTTATTTAGCACCACCTGTCCCTCATGTCAGCTTCTCTCCAACTGTGAGCCGCCACTGCTCGAAGGCCCTATCGAGAGGATTCTAACGCGATTTAAGGCCGTCTTTACGAAGCGTCGAGGCGTGTTAAAAAATCCACGCTTATTTATGCTCTCGCGCATCATTTCCGCCCGCCGCTACCCATCCGTTACGTATGTATACCGAAAATCGAGACTGAATTAAACGAGATGACTCAAATCTCCGGCTAAGACGAATGCTTCCTGCTTCGGCTCTTCTCGCTCGCGAGAATTTCATTTCCTAACGTTGTTCAAAGTTAATTGTCTCTGAAAGAAATAATACACCGTCCGAGAGGTACGGTCGTATTTGCGGACTCTTACTCCTCTCCGATTTCATCCAAATTCATTCGGCGATATCTGTACATCAAAGCGAACGTGAAACGCTTCGAAAAATATGTCACCGCGTTGCGCTAGCCCACGTATCTTTTATGTAGTGTACAATGCTGTCTTAGGGGGGGGGGGGGAACAAAAGTATACTCTTTCTGACTCATTCGTAAAAACATTGACTCGCGCCCTTTGTGACAGTCGATTCTAACGAGTCGAGTGCCATTCCGGCATTTCATCCGCGTCTCGCGCGTCGTCGGCGGGAATAAGATCCACGCTCATTTCTTTCGGGGAGATGAAACGGCGCGGGGTGTTAAAGGTCCATTTCTATTTTCATTGCCGCGGCTCCCATCCACCTGTCGTCGTCGCTCTTCTGACGCAAGCCGTAACATCGCACCGCGAGACAGCAGCGCGAACGTTCTGTATCGCATTTACATAAATACATTGAGGCCGCATTTAAGCCTGCATCTCGCATTTTAGAACGGCGCGATTCCGGATGATCCCTCGAAATTTCAGAGCTGTCACGCACTTCGAAATTAGACGTAAATTATATTTTCGAGCGAGCGCCTAAGAGATAAATTTCCTTCATCCATCTGTCGCCTCTACCTCGCCGCGTGTGCATAACACGGTAAAAGTAATATATTTTCGTCGGTCACTCGCTTACTTTAATATATTTCAACCTCGGGGAAACTGCCAGATTTTTTTTTTTTAGGTGGGAGGGCAT